TAACCACTGTTTAAAAAAGGCCTCCTTTTCTGTGTTGAAGAAAGTCTTGCTTTGATAGAAAATATATGATGTCCCCCAGTAGGGCCAAGTCTGTGGCTGATGTGTCCTGAGATTGTGACAGCTGGATGGGCCAGCTCATGTCACCAGTTTGAGAGAGAACTAGTGTGTGTGTGGAAAAGTGAGAGTCAGTGAAAGAGAAGACCCAAGTGAAATGGACTGACGTGATGACTTCAGCCATGGGTTTGAGTCTGCTGAGATGAGCCCCGGAAGAAAGGCCTGGTGCTCTGTGTCCCCAAAATCATCCACCGAGACGCTATGGAGCAGTTCTACTCCTGGGGTGGCCCTTAATTATTATCATTTCAACAGCAACTAGTTTACAATAGAATGCTGCAGAATTCAACAACTTCACTTTCTGTGATGTGAAGGTAAATGTCACCTTCTGATCTCAAATGTAAAAAGCATAAGAGAAAACAGACTACCACCCAAATAATGCTCAGGAATTTTTCTCTGGTGTTGTGAGGGGTCTTTTTTCCTTTTTTAAGATGAACGGGAAATGTGAAAGTACTTTCTTTTAAAGAGAAGAACTGACTGAGACAGACTTAGCAATGGAGACTGTAAGAGGAGCTTTGGTCGCCTAGTGGGTAAGAAACTCCACTGTCAACCCAAAGGCACGCGGTTTGAATCCACCAGCTGGCCTGCAGGATGGGTAATCTCCTCCCATGTGATTTACGGCCTTTGAAACCTTGCTGGAGGGTCAGCTATGAGTCAGCTCTAACTCAAGGCAATGAAGGATTTGAGTTGGAGGCTGACGACTCTGAAAGGAACAACAGTGAAAGGCCATGGATAGATTGAGAGAGGCACATATAGAACAAAACTCAATATCCTAAAAATGGTCGGGGTTACCGATCTCTGTCAGACAGAGGAAACCCCCAAGACTGTGGCCCTGCAGCAACCTTCAGGCCTGGAGCTGAACTCATCGCAGAGGATCAGCCTGCAGCTCAGCAGTAGGCAGATCTGTAGTGTGAACAGTAACACCAGGCAAGGACTCAGTCCTCGGAGCAATCAGCCACACAAGAGCGATGGGGTGGCCTCAGCCCAGGGACAAAGCTCAGAAGGCAGGAAGGAAGGACAGAAGGATGAATAGAAACAAGAACAACAGGACGTCAGTGAGAGTAGAGTGCTAATCAATGTGGAGACGGTGATCCACGTCCCTACAACAGTGTGTGAATGGCTCACAGGAATATCAGCCTGCCCTGTTCACTTCACTCAGATCACACAAAACAGCGGCCAAGTTCAACCGACGGTAAAAGTTACTATCAGTTCCAAAGATGAAAAGTAACATAATTTCTTTCTTTCTTTAATTTCTGTCTCTACTCACCAACCTTCATCTGGCAAATTACTTAACCTCAGTTTCCCCTAAGCCTCAGTTTCTTAAACTTGAAATTGAGTACAGTAATTGGACCATTTCCCCCCCTCGAAGGCTGTTAAATGGGATTATAAGCACAAAATGTATACTCCCAAGGTCTACTTTGTCAGGTAAAGACTAGTTGCTAATTAATGAATTAATTCATAAGCTGCAATTAATTAATTGTCTATAGCTATATTTTAAGGTATCTAAGAGCTGGAGGAAAAAGAACCTATTCATTTTGTTGCCAAGGTTACTCCTGATATTTCTTCCCACAGACAGGCTAAATATCAGTCTTTCCACACACTGGCCTCTCATTATCAATTCAGCAGAAATAAGGCCACATTTGAGATGCACATGAGCCCTGCTTAGCATTCTCAGCCACACCACTAGAAATCTGCAGTTCGGCGTTCCCGTGAAGTGGAATTTCATTGAACTTTGGCATAAATGGTACAGAATTGAAGTTAAGCAAAGGTGTTAAACAGACCATTCCTTCCTATAAAATAAAGTCTGGGTAACAGATGCTTATGTAACCAAATGATGTTTTTTGGTTTTTGGTTTTGTTTTTTTTTTTAAGCAAGCCATCACAAAGTGACCGCAATTAATGATCAGTTAAAAGCCTAACACTGGATATTGTTGTTTTATACTGTTGGAACTGACTCATAGCTGACCCTCCAGTGGGTGTTCAGAGGCAGTAAATCGCATGGGAGGAGTCTGCCTATCTTTCTCCTCAGCAGCAGCTGGTGGATTCTAACTGCCTGCCTTTAGGCTGGCAGCAAGATTCCTTACCACTAAGCCACCAGAGCTCCCTATTATACTAACTATACACTGTTGTTATGTTGTTAGGTGCAGTTGCGTACACCTCACAGCAACCCTGTGAACAGCCATCCTGAACCCTGTCCTATCCTGTGCCATCTTCATCATCTCCAGCACACTCGAGCCCACTGCTGAAGTCACCACGTCAATCCATTTCTCTTGGGTCTTCTCTTTCACTGACTCTCACTTTTCCACACACACACTAGTTCTCTCTCAAACTGGTGACATGAGCTGGCCCATTCAGCTGTCACAATCTCAGGACACATCAGCCACAGACTTGGCCCTACTGGGGGACATCATATATTTTCTATCAAAGCAAGACTTTCTTCAACACAGAAAAGGAGGCCTTTTTTAAACAGTGGTTATTTAAGAAAATAACATGCTGGGTGCTTTTGCACTTAAAGTTATCCATCTGCATGCCATCCTTCAAACCTCATGGGCACTAGAACACGGCAGGCTTAGGTTGGCAGAGGTTCTGCTGCTCCTTGGGTGGCCGGGCAGAGGATGCTGGTGACCCCAATGATGGAGGCCCCTCTTGAGGGGAGAATGTGAGTAAAATATGGACACCAGGGTGAAGCAAGTCGCTCTCAGGAGGTTTGACACTGCAGATGCATTTGCTGATTTACACGGTCCAAAGGAACTGCTTTCTCTTTGTGAATTCTATTTTCAGTGATGAATTGAGCATGGCATGTCTCCCACACCTGTATTGTCTGGACCCATGTGGCTACTACTGCTAAAGGAGCCTTGATAGTGCAGTGGTTAAACACTCTAGTGCTAATCAAAAGGTGGGCAGTTCAAACCCACTGGCAGTTCTCAGTCAAGAAAGATGTGCTGATTGCTTCTTAAAAATTTACAGCCTTGGCATATAAAAGGAAACTGGCAAAGCAGGATAAAAATAGGGAAGGTGCTGGTACACTATAGGGACAGCAACCAAGGTCATGGGACAATTTTTGAATTGTTGAATAGAAACTAATTTGCTGTGTAAACGTTCACCTAAAACTCAACAAATGGTAAAAAGCAATTTTAAAAAATCAGTCTTGGAAAAACCCCACACTGTCCTGCAGAGTGGGGTCATTATGCATTGAGATTGACTAGACGGCAACAGGTTTGAATTTTGGGTTTTGATATCACTGTTAATTGCCTACAGTGTGTTCAACACTGGGATACTAACTGAAAGGTCAGCAGTTCAAATCCACCAGTCACTCTACTGGAGAAAATGAATTCGACTTGTCACATAAAGATTGCCAGCCTCAGAAATGCAATGGATCGATCCTAATTCTACAGTCACTGTGAACTGGTATTGACTTGATGGCAGTCTGTTTCCTTGGCTAATTGCTCCATCACTTACTCTGCATTTTTTCCATTTTAGCGCCTCATGATTAAGTAAGGCAGACTTAAGTAAGATCAGATTTGAAATGTCTGAATAAGTACTGAGCCCCAAGTTCCTTTAGGATATGTATCCTATCGATCCTAGGATGCTGGTACCCTTAAGGTCCTTAGCCAACACCTGATGAATTAACAAATGAGTCAGGCCCCAGGTGTATGGTCCTGACAAGGCTCTATGCCATATTCACTCCTGTGGCACCTAGCACAGGGTCAGATGGACGGCTGCATCGCGAGAATATTCCTGGCACACAGTTAACGGCCACATCAGGTCTGAAGCTGGGTCTGCTGACTCTGTCTGTATAATGGGATCCAGTTAATTCGGTGGCTGCTTAGCTCTTGTTAGGGGCATGTGAACTCACCTGGGGAATGCATCAAAGCAGTAGGTTTTCCTGGTGTCGGGAAAGGCTACCCGCAAACCAGACATGAGAGGAGAGTGGAGGATGACCGCTGCGCACTCATATCGCGAGGCCAAGTCCACTGTGGGCACAGTCCCGATGCTCTGACCGTACAGGATGATGTTCTCAGGGCTCACACCATACCTGGAGAAATCAGAGAGCGCAGCCATTAGCTAATGCACATGGAAGAGGAGCGAGAAGGGGCAACAAACAAAATCCTCGGTATCCACAAAATTCCCACACCTATAAAAGAACACTGAATAGAACATGGCGATAAAAAAAAAAATAGACAAATCTGTCTTAGATGAAGTACAGGGAGATGCTTCTCAGAAGCAACACAGTATCCTTTGTCTCTCATACTGCAGGCCTCACATACTCTGGGTATGCCATCTGGAGAGGCCAGTCCCTGGAGAAAGATATTGTGCTGGTAAAACAGAAGGTCAGCAAGGGTAGGAGGACTCTCAGTGTGACGGACTGACCTAGTGACCAGAACGATGGGCCCCACCCAGCACAGCGGCATCATGAGGATGGCAGGGGTCTGGCAGCGCTTCCTCTGATTTACACGGGGTTGCAATGCATCAGAGTTGACTCAAAGACGCTTCCCAGCCCCAGTCACCTTAAATCTCAAATTATTTCATTGGTACACTTTAGCTTGAGATGAATATGAATTTGACAAATACAAATGTTAAGGGCTTATTTCAGGACTCTCTTTAGTAGTTCAGATTCTGTGGTCCCTAAAATGTTATAAAAAATTATAAGGCAATTTTATTCTGACCAGTTAACTAAACAAATATACTGTAAATTTCAGTATCTGCAGAGAGACATCTCACTTCCTCGTCTTCTCTCTAAATTTCCTTGAGAGTCATAAACAAGCTTCGGGGGTGAAGGGGGGGAAGCATGTTTGGTAAACCATAATTTTATCTGTTACTAGCAGCCCTTCATGATGAGGCTTCAAAAACAGAAGGACTCAACAACTATTAGAGAAAAGTTTCCGGAGAGGCAAGTTTAATTAGAAGAATTTAAAACCTGAAGGATTTTCAACCCCAAAACAATATCCTGATAGAGTCTCTTGCAATTTTCATTTGAGAAATGTGGTGCAAATGGTTAAGACTTAGACTGCTAACTAAAAGGCTGGCAGTTCAAATCCACCCAGAGGCACATTGGAAGACAGTACTGGCAATCTATTCCCAAAAGGTCATAGTTCTACCCTGATTCCAAATTTTCTTCCTCATTGTAGTGAAAATATAGACACCAATGCACTGGCTGGTGCCACTTCCACACTTATAATTCACTGTACTATGTGATGTACTATAATTATTGGTATTATTTTCCATGAGAAACATATAAACTCAATGTCCTGATATGCAATGAAGTGTAGCTGCCAAAAACATGTCATGTAAAGCCAAAACATGATGTCTGTGGAGAGAATCCCATTTGGGAATAGAACATTCTTATTGTTATTAATAAGACCCGTGTGATATAAGAAAAACACGTTGGGCACAAAAAGGGAAACAAGGCAAAGATGTATGCTGCATTAAGACTGCAGAGGAATGAGGAATAGAAGGTGAAAGGTGACACGGATCCTGAAGAGAGAAATTCTGATGCCCTGAACTGGGGTGTCCAGTGTCCTCATCTGGCTGAGAAAATACATCTCTGTTTGTCACAACCACCCCCTTCTGGTATTTCTCCTATTGCAGCGGTAAAATGTCCTCCAAATGAAAATTTCCCTTCTCCACTATTCTCAACCCTGATTTTAAAAAGTAAAAAATTTTGGTCTTTATAAATATTTGATTATTTCATATAAGTGAGATCACTCCATATCTGGTCTTTCACAATGGACTGATTTTTGTCTGGTATGTTTTCAAGGTTTGGCTATATTGTGGCATGCATAAGAAATGAAGTTGGAAACCTATAATTGTCATTTCCGTTAATCCTTCTATCCTACTCACCCTGTCTCGTTGAGCCAATGCTATTCTTTTGACCTTACATGGTTGGTTGTTCTTGGTGTTACCCTTCACCTTATAGACCTGTCTATCATTTGTGTGAAAGGTGAGCCACTGAGGTGAGTTTCATTCCAGATTTGAAGAGTGACTGAGGGCTACAGTCTCAGTGGCTCAGTGAGTCTATATCAGAGCAGTCAGCCTGGTCTTTTGTAGTTTTGTTTCACATCATCCCGGGATCTTCTCCTGTGATTCATTTATAGTGGTCAGCAATGGTCACCAGGCTCCATCTAATTCTTCTGGTCTCAGGGTGGTTGAAGCTGAGGTTTGCTTGGTCCACTGGTCCTTTGTTTTAGAACATCTTTGCTTCTCTTCTCTCTTCTCTGCCCCAGATAGGGAGCTGCAGCTTGGATGGCTGCCTGAAAGCTCTAAGTCTCCACTGCTACTCATTTTGTGACTGCATAACTAATACTCCAATGTTACACCCTCCCCCCCACCCCAGCCACATTTTGTATATATCTAGAGTTGAGATTGCTGCATTATACATTTGTAACTTTGTGAGGAATCACACATTTTTACCATGACACACATACAGTTCACCATGACTTAGCAACTTTTAAAAGACCTAGCTCAACATAGCTCACTACTGACAAGTCAGAACTGACTCACAGTTAACCTTTACAGCAGTAAGTTTTAAGGGGCTGTAAACTATACAGTGGAGATTGCCCATCTTGCTTCTCAGAACAGCTGGAGGACTGCTGCCTGCCTTTGGGATGGCGGCCTAACTCCTTACCAGTAGGCTACCCGAGTGCTCTAGGAACTAGTTAGCTATATGGAATACAGGTTCTATCTCCAGCTTCACCTGCAGTCTGGAGTGCCCACAGGACAAAGCTCTGGCCAACAGGATGTAAGCAGGAGTATCACATGCAATCTCCAGGGCATGGTTTTGAAGGGCAGGGGCTCTACCACATCCCTCTCCCCAAAGGGGAGCAGATGTTAGCATGGTTGGCCCACAGAGAACGCTGAAATATATAGGTTTGGTGGCAGAACAAAAGAGAAGGATCCCAGGAAGATATTCACTCAAGAAAGAGTATTTGGAGGAGGACATTATACCGAGTGAAATATCTCAGTCACAAAATGACAAATATTGCATAGGGCCACTGTTGTAAAGAAAAGTGCAACAATGAATGAATGACTGGAAACCCTAAGTCTCTGTAAACTTTTATTAAAATTAATTTAAAAAAAGAAATTAAAAGCAAGACAAGGCAAACAGACATATCACAGAAGGGGAAACATGAATTGATTACACAGAGAGATGCTAAGTCCCAGTCTCACTAGGTCCTGGAATTACAAAGTCAATCTACAAGTTATTGTTTGGAAACAATTGAAAAAGTCAGACAAAATGGCAAGGAATGGTAGAGTGGGGCTCTATGACATTACTGTAAGGTAAAATGAGTACAACCACTGATGAAATCAACTTGACATTATCTGGTAACCTTCAAGGCTATGATCCAATGATTCTACTTTGGGATATACATCTCACCTTGGTGTTGTCACTGAGTCAACTTAGACTGCTAACCAGCCATGAGCAGAGCTGCCCCACAAGGCTTCCTAGACTACAATCTTGACAAGAGCAGATGGGCAGGTCTTTTCTCCTTCAAAGCCATTACGTGAATCTGAACTGTCCACTTTTCGATTAGCATCTAAGCACTTAACTCACCAGGGAATCCTTTACTACAGCTCAGACAGTCTGAGGAAATGCCTCTGATTAATGACATTTAGTGAAGAGCTCTGTCGATCTAAGAGCTGAGGGAGATGGTAAGATTTCAGCTCAACTTCCTCCCCTCAAATGACCTGCAACTACACATGAAAACGGAGACCTTTAAGAAATTCTGGGTGTTTTTGGCTGTGCAAATAAGTTAACATGCTTGACCAGCAACAGAAAGGTTAAAGGCTATAGTTTCCCCAGGTGTGCCTGAGAGGGAAGGCCAGGTAAGCACGAACTCCTCATGAGCACAGTTCCATCTGACACACTGTCCTGGGGATGACGTGCCTCTGGAGGAACTCAAGGAAGAAGGAGCGAGGACAAAACTAGGTGTTCAGTGGCAGCCAGGATCAATTACAGAAGCATGAAAAGGAAGCAGGGAGAACAGTTAAAGGACTCCTAAGAGCCCGACAGTCTGGCACTGGTCTGAACAACATTTTGTTATACAGAAGGTCAGACAAGGTCACCATGACTGGGAGCCAACTCCATGGCCACCACCATTGGGAAGGGAAAACAAGAGGGCAGTTAAAGAGATGTGCTCTCTCTCTTCTCTAGACACAAGTAAGAAAACACTCAGTTTAGAACCAGAATCGACTCTCTACCTTCCTTCTTTCTTTCCCATGATAAAGAACTGTGCCTCTGCAAGAGTGTCTCAAGATGCTGGTCCTACTGAGTGTGCACCAGGGTTGGTGGGGTGAGGCCTGAGGAAGGAATTAGAAGTGGTGGCATTCTGTGCAACAAAGTCCTATGTCAGAGGCCACGGACACTCAGATCCCAACGAGGTTGATTTTTTGGAAGTACATTCGACACCTTTTTTCCAAAGCACATGGAAGTGGACTGAAACCTCCAATTGTTTTGGTTAGCGATTAAGCCATTAACCATTTGTACCCTGTTGCTTTTATACAACTGACCTTCCAGCAAATCTCCAGAGGCAGTAAATCACACAGGAGGGGACCATCTACCTTCCATGGTAAGAGCTGAACCCAGTGGCTTTCATTTAGCACCACAACTCTGTACCACTAAGCGGGAGGCCTATTTGCATACAAGAGACTCTGAAAAATTGGGTGCCATCAAGTTGATGCTGACCAAGCCCACCTCTGCTCCCACAACATCCTTCAAACTGCTCTCAGGGGTCCCAAACCCAATAGCTTTCTCCCAGTTCTCATCTGATTCAGTTTATGCCCAGAAGTTCACATTGAAAAGGTGAGGTCTTTTCTTCTTAAATCCAAGCTTTGGCTTTGACTCACTTCTGGTTCCTCCTCCTCCCCCACCAAAGAAAGGCCCTGTGCCTCTGACCAGCTTAGTTTCCCCAACCACTAATCTCCACAGTACATCCTTACATTTCCTCTCCAGATGATTTCATCTGACCCATGACTTCAACTACCAACTCTGCTCAGTTAATTCTCAAACGTGGACTCCTGGTTTTAATTTTTCTTCTA